AAGACCGGAAATAGGGGTGGCCTCTGGCTCATTCACTTCTGTCCCAGAAAGCTGGGAACAGGGGAGCAGGGGCTCCTGAGTGAAGAGGCTCAGATGAGGGTCCACCCAGGCCTGGGCTAGTCCCTGGATCTCAGTTTCCCCATCTGGGCAAAGGCATTAAGAATCTCCGCCAGGTTGCTGAGAGGCAGTGGAGAGGTCACTTGGAGGGTAGTTAAATTATCTCTGTTGTTGAACCCACAGGCCTGTGTGTGCCTGTCCTCAGAGCCTTGTAAGGACAGCCCCAGGGGGGTGCGGCCCAGGAAGAAACCTTCCCCACCTGTACTGAGGTGTGTGGGGGTGTACTGGGGGGGGACTGGGGAGAAGGCCTGGGGAAAAGGACTGCTGGGAACCAGGACAGCAGAGGACCCCCGTCCACAGCTCCAGTGTCCAGTCTGTGCTCAGGCTGAGGAACGAGCTGCTTTTGTTTCAAGGGGCCACCAGCTCAGTAATTAACTCCCTTAACTAGTTACCATCGGGCAGAATCGACTCGCTGCTGATCCCCCAGCAGGTTTTCAGAGGCTGCAGACTGCCTGCACAGGATGAGATTGCCCATCTGTCCCCAACAGCAGCTGGAGGATTCAAACCACTGTCTTTAGGTTAACAGAGCAACTCCTTAGTACTAGGCCACCAGAGCTCCCTCCCCAGTTAGGTAGGAGAGACGAATCTGTTTACTAGAGTTAGCTTTGGCTTCCTCATTTTTTTTTTTTTGGCTTCCTCATTTTATAAGCTCAGATGCTGTTTTTCAGTGACGTGGGGTCACTTCCAGCCCTGGAGACCCGATGTACGACAGAATGCAGCCCTGCTCGTTTGACCTGCAGCACCCTCAAAATCCTTCCATTTCAGCCCATTAGCACAGTCTTCCTGACAACATACCTAAAGCAAGTAAGACCACATCTCACCACTTGCACATCGGAGGAGCATTCTGACTATACTTTCTTAAAAGATGTTGTCGAGTCAGAACTGACCCATAGCTGACCCTCCTGCAGGCTTTCAGAGGCAATTAATTGCACAGGAGGAGATTGCCCGTCCTTCACCTGCAGAGCAGCTGCTGGTTTAGAACTGTGTGCCTTTGAGATTGCGGCGCAAGTTCTAGTATCATTAGGCCACCAGATTTCCCTTTATCTCCCTCTATCTTTCGAGACTGATTTGTTTATTCTTCTGGCTGACCACATTATATTTAATATTCTTTGCCAACATCATAATTCAAAGACCATTCATACTTCTTTATTTGTTATCCAGCTTTTGCATGCATATGAAGTGATTGAAAATATCATGGCTTGGGTCAGGTGCACCCTAGTCCTCAAGGTGACATCTTTGCTCTTTAACACATCAAAAAAGTCCTTTGCAGCTCATCTGCCCAATGCAATACATCATTTGATTTCTTACCTACTGTTTTCATGAGCATTGATTGTGGATCCAAGTGAAATGAAATTCTTGCCAACTTCAATGTGGTCTACATTTATCATGATGATTTATTGATTCAGTTGTGAGGACTTAATTTCTTTGTTGATGTGAAATCCCTACTGAAGGTTGTATTTACTGATCTTCATCAGTAAATACTTCAAATCTCCTTTCTTTTCAGCAAATACGGCTGTGTCATCTGCATATTGCAGGTTGTTAATGAGTCCTTCTCCAGTTCTGATGCCACATTCTGCTTCATATAGTCTGGCTTCTCAGATTATTTGCCCAGCATAAGCTTGAATGAGTATGGTAAAAGAATACAACCCTGAAGGCTACCTTTCTGACTTTTAAACTGCTCAGTATCCCCTTGTTCTGTTTATGTATCTGGTAGTCTACGTGCAGTTTCTCCATGAGCACAAGTAAGTGTTCTGGAATTTTCACTTCTTGCAGTGTCTTTCATATATTTAAAAATGATCCACCCAATTAAATGCCTTCACATAGTCAGTAAACACACACAAACATCCTCTGGGAGCTCCGTGTCATGACCACAGAGAGCTGCACTGTGAATCCAAAGGCCACACCTCTCTGGTGGTGCTAATTGGAGGACAAAGATGGGCAGTCTCCCCCTGTGTGATTTACAACTTCCTAGGGTCAGTGTGAGAGCATCATTATAGATGGTGAAGAGATTGAGATAGTTATCAGTTTTAGTTTGTTTGGCTCCATAGTCAACACTCTTGGTACCAGCAGCCAGGAAATCAAGAGACAAATTGCATTAGGAAAGTCAGTCGTCAGGGACCTCTACAGAGTACTGGAGAGCAACGATGTTAGGCTGGAGACTAAGGTCCCCTGATCCAGGCCGTGGTCTTCAAAGTTGCATGCTCTGTGTTGGAGAGCTGGACAGTGACTAGGGATGATAGAAAGAGAATTGATGCCTTTGAGCTGTGGTGCTAGAGAAGAGTGTTGAATATACCATGGACTGCTAAGAAAACAAACAGGTTTGTCCTGGAGAGGGTGAAACCGGGCTGCTCCTTGGAGGCAAGGATTCTGAAGCTTCATCTGACATACTTTGGGCATGTTGCAAGGAGGGATCAGTCCTTGGACATCATGTTTGGGAGGATGGAGGAAGACCCTTGATGAGATGGATTGATTTGGTAATTGGGGCAATGGGAGTGGGTGTGTCAGACAGTGAGGTTGGCACAGGATAGAGCAGGGTTTAGGGCTCTTGCACATAGGGTTGTTATGAGTTGCAAGCGACTCGACGGTCCACAACACCAACAACAACAAGGGTCAACTGTGAGTCGGTTTCAGCTCAGTGACAAGGAGAGACAGACACAGAAGGAGAGAGAATGAGAAAGTGAGTGAGCAAGTATGTTGTAGGTTGCCGTTGCCTCGTGTTGAGATTCTCTGCTTTCAGACAAGAGCCATCCGATGTCAGCAGTGATACCCCTCACTGCACCTCCTTTTCTGACTCTGGCTTGACTTTCTGACAGTTTCCTTGTTGATGTTCTACGCCAGCTGTTTTTATATGTTCCTGAGCAAGATTTTACTTGTGTCTGGTATTGTTTGATAGTTTCCGCATTCTGTTGGATCACCTTTCTTTGGAATGAGCATGTATATGGATCTCTTCCAGTCGGCTGGCCAGTTAGTTGTCTTCTCAGCTTCTTGAGTGGACAGCCCCGCTGTTTAGTCACTCACTTGCCGAGGGCTCGTGGACACTGTTACCTGAGATCACAGCACCCTTGCTGTTTCTTTCCCAGGAAGCGCAAAGCATTTCTACTTCAGAACCGTACACACAGCCATCCCAGCATGCCGGGAGCTGGGGTGGACAATGTTGGGACATGGGGACATGTAAGAGCTCTGGTCTCTGAGGCGTTTGGTAGGGAAGAGCCATATAAATGAACCTGTAAGGGGGTGAGGGATCCTTTGATCTGGCTGTGATGAACCCAGTCTCTCTCATCTGCACAGAGACCCTTCTCACTCCCTCAGCCCCCCACCCTGGACCAGGCCCTTCCTGATCCTGGGCCCCTGCTCTGCATCCCCCTTCATCATGTTTGCAGAGACGCCTTCCTGGAAGCTGTGTGCACACCTCTCAGCTTGGAGCCCAGGTCCCTGCTTGCCTGTGTGACTTGGGCACACCCTGGATGGGGCCAAGCACAGGCGGCTTGGAGACGCTGGGACCTGAGTGCCTCCTGGAGCAGAGCTTTCTGACTTTCCACTCCTTTCTAGCTCTCATGGGTCACTGTGGGTTGGCTTGCTCACGGTCCCCAACATGGCTTACCTTCCCGGGGTGCCCTGCCCGCTTGCTCAGTGTTTGCACAACTCCAGGGGGCTCTGGACTCACTCTTTCCATCTTACCTGTTGCCCTCTGCAACACAGCCCAAGAATACAAAGTGGTCAGAACTTGCTGGAGTTGTACCTTGGGGGGGCCCCTCTGCAGTCAAGCCTCTGTACCTCCACTCTTGTCTCAGTCCTCTTTTCCCTTTGAAGTAATTTAGGGGGGACTTTGGCTTTCTCAGATGGCTCTGTGTATCGTAGTAAACACCTGTTGGCTCCAGAGTCTAGCCCCTGCTTGTTCCTGGAGGAGTTCGCTGCAGGCTCAACCAGGCAGGAGTGGGGCCCTGGGGCCTGAGCGTTTGTGGAAGAGAAGGTTCCCTCCTATTTGCCCTAAAGGGAGTCAACGCTGGGGTCCGCTTTTGTGGCACAGCAAGTGGTGAGAGATGGGGAACAGCAGCGGTTGGACACAGGAGTGTCCCCCAGCTTCGCACTCCCCAGAAGGCAACCTCACATGGCCAGGGAGAGATCACTTCTGAGGCACATGCACAGATGGCATCATCAACGTTATCATCACAGTGATACTGGCCGTGGGAAGATGACAGGGGTGGGGATAGCTGTAAACAAGGCCCGCCTGTCTCTGATAGTCTCGGGGCTTGGTCTTCAGCCCTTCTTCCTGAGGGTCTCCTCCTCCTGAGGGTCTCCTCCTCAGCCCACCTTCCTGAGCCCGGAAGGAGAGGGGACCAGGTAGGGTCCTGATCTTCAGTCCCTTGAGCCTGCCTGGGTCTGCTGCCCCGCCCCGCCCACTCCGGGCAGGTGCGGGTGCCCTGGTTTCTGACTCACCATCTGCCTCCCAGCTGACCTCAGCGGGGGCCTGGGGGGAGGGGCAGGGGACAGGGCAGTTTCTTCTGAGAGTGACTCCTCACGATAGTGACCCAGAGGCCAGGGCTGGGGCCTTAAAGTGCCTCTGTTCGTTTCAGCCCAGGAATCCAGGGGAACTGGTCAGGGGGAGGCCCTGGCGACTGAAACCCCTCCCCCCGCCCCCGCCCGCTTGGCTCAGCATATAACTGCTCGCTCCAGGCTGCAGCCCGAGTGCTATCGCAGCTGGCGGGAAGGAACTGGTCTGGTCACCGCGGACAGCTCTGCTCAGAGATCTTTGGTGACTTCTCCTACCTCGGACTCCTGAGAGACTTCCCTCGGACACTCGGTGACCTTCCCCCCACCACCCCAGCACAGCGATCTGACAGCTTTCCAGAGCCTTCTCCCCACAAGCCCACAGACGCTGAGCCATGCCTTCCATGGGGCTGCAGGTGATGGGCATCTCGCTGGCCGGGCTGGGCTGGCTGGGGGCCATCGTGAGCTGCGCGCTGCCCATGTGGCGGGTGACGGCCTTCATCGGCAGCAACATCCTGACGGCGCAGACCATGTGGGACGGGCTGTGGATGAACTGCGTGGTGCAGAGCACGGGGCAGCTGCAGTGTAAGGTGCACGACTCGATGCTGGCGCTGCCGCAGGACCTGCAGGCGGCCCGCGCGCTCATGGTGGTCAGCATCGTGGTGGCCGCGCTGGGCGTGCTGCTGTCCGTCGTGGGCGGCAAGTGCACCAACTGCGTGGAAGACGAGAGCGCCAAGGCCAAGACCATGATCGTGACGGGCGTGGTCTTCCTGGTGGCTGGGGTGCTGGTCATGGTGCCCGTGTCCTGGACGGCCAACAGCATCATCCGCGACTTCTACAACCCGCTGGTGGCCTCTTCGCAGAAGCGGGAGATGGGCGCCGCCCTCTACGTCGGCTGGGCCTCCGCGGGCCTGCTGCTGCTGGGCGGGGGTCTGCTGTGCTGCAACTGCCCCCCTCGTGGGGACAAGGCTTACTCGGCCAAGTACTCGGCCGCCCGCTCGGCGGCCACCAGCAACTATGTCTAAGGTGCCGCTGCTCCGCTCTGTCCCTTCCAGCTCGGCTTTTCCCTGAATTGAGCCAGTGATCCCAAGAGGCTCTGCCACCAAGCCACTGCCTTCTGGACACTGGGTACACAGGGACTGAGTCAGGCCACTGGCCAGCAGCCCTCGGGTCTCTGGCCCTTCCAGACATCCTCCCACTGCCTCCTCTACACTGATGGGGGTGGCAGGGAAGATCTGGATACCACCATCCTCCGACTGGACCTTGGATACAAGAGAAGAAGTAGCAACGGCATGGAGTGGAGGGCGAGCTGGCTCCCGCTGGCCGGGACAGCCTAGCCTTGACCTCTGAGCACACCCCTCAGTGCCCTGTCTGTTCCTGTGCTGGGCACTGTGCCCTACTCCTCTTGCACCATTCTCCTGGTTCAGCAAGACCCCTGGCCACATCCCGGTTCCCAGATACTGGGGTCAGGAAGAGCTTGGACTGTGCCTGGCTATGGAAGCCTGAGACTCTGAGCGTGACTGGGGCCTTGCCCACCCACCAGCGAGGAGCGTGGAGTGGACAGACGGGTTTGGGCGGGGAGGGGTGAAGGTGCTACGACTGGTTTGGGTGTTGCTGAGGGAGGGGGGCCACTCTTCCCGCCCCCACACGGCTGCCTCAGGGTTCTTGCTCCTTGGACCTCCAAACCCTCTGCTCCTGCCCTGGGCACTGCCAGCCTGGGGAGGGCCCAGGAGCGGCCTGGCCTGGCTCTGGCCAAACCCTGGGAAGCCCCCAGGGATCCCCTGCCTCCTCTGTGGTTTCTGTTTGTCTCTGTTTTGTAATTTAAGCTCCATTATTCATCACTGTTATTATTATTATTTTCTACAATAAATGGGACCCATGCACAGGACTGAGTTGCTGACTCTGATTCCAGTGGGGGGGGGCAAGGGGCTGATGAGGGGTGAGGCCAAAGAGGGACACAGCCACTGCCTGGTGCCCCCAAGTGATGAGCCCTCACACAACTGGTTTCAGGGAATTGTAAAGAACCAGAGTTGGCTTGGACCTTTGGAGTCACTTCGTTCAAGGGTTTTGTTATTTGGGAGTTAAGCCATGTGTACTTCTAGTGAGGTGCTGGGAGACCCCAGGGGGTGCTGGGAGACCCCAGGGGAGGACCTGGGAACTCCCTCCTTCCGTGCCCAGCCAAACTTTCTGGGTCACCCTACAGGTCCCACCTTGGGCTGTCCCTGCCCTCAGCCTGGAATGTTCTTTTTACCCTCCCCACCCTTTGGAACCCCGCTTGTCCTGCAGACCAAGTTCCAAGCCATCTCCTCCCCTCCGTGGTGGCTTCCTGTGGCCCTCAGATGCTGCAATCACCCTCATCCTACCTCATGCACTCCCCAACAGTCACCCAGCCCTTTCACCTGCCTCACCACCTGCATCGCAACCTCTCTTTACAGATGACGACGCCGAGTTCTGGGCACGTGAAAATGTTTGGCCAAACCTCACTGATAAGCAGGGCCCCATGGCTTTAAAGCTGGGGTGTCTGGACAGGCCTGGGTCTGCAGTCACCTGTCTGGGACTTGACCCCAGTTCTGTCTATGTCGCCATGTGGGCACATGTTCTTGGTTTTATCATCTGTGAGTTGGAAGCACACCTATCGCCCCAGGAGGAATTACAGTCACACTTGTGACTGTGCCAGGGAGCCCTGGTGGCATCGTGCGTAAAGTGTAGGGTTACCAACAGGAAGATCAGAGGTTCAAATCCACCTTCGCCAGTTACTCTGAAGGAGATAAATGGGCAGTTTCTTCTGTGAGGATTTACATCCTCAGAAACATGATGGCAACAATGAATGAATGAAAACCCAAAATCTCTGTAAATGTTCACTGAAACTAATAAAATTTAATAATAATTTTTTTTAAATGAAACATGATGGAGGGTGGCACTGGGGTGGAGCCAATTCGATAGTGGTGGCCTGGTGAGTGTGCCTGGCTCAGGGCCGGTCTGGGAAGGGAGTTCCCTCTCCCTTTCCAGAGATGAGATGCGGAGTCATGGATCTTTCTGCCCCTTTCTGGGTGCTTATTTAATAGTCCAGGTATTCTTTGGGGTTAGGATTGGCACCACCTTACAGATGGAGCAGAGAGGGCCTGGTGGATGTGGGTAGACCCACAGAGGGTCAGAGGCCCAGCAGGGGCTGGGCGCTGGCTCTCACCGCCTCACCCTGGGCTGCCTCCTGCTTTTGGTACAGGTAGACGATGCCTGAGATGAACCCTTCACCAGCTGAGGTGCCAGGTGCCAACTCGAGCTCAGAGGTGGCCAGCTCCCACTGGTCCACGGGCCAGGCCACCAGGCGTTCCCAGGCCCCAGCCTGCTCCAGGCTGTCCAGCGCGGCCTCCAGCGCTTTCTTAAATCGAAGGTTGGATGGATTGGTCCTGGTAGTCAGACACACCAGCCCGCCTGGGGAGTGGGAAAGAAAGTGAGCTAGGTCTGTTCACATTTCAAGGCTACGCAAGCCTTTTCCAACCTCTATGCCTTTGGCTGGGAGCTCTGGTGGCTTAGAGGTAAGAAATTGTGCTGTCAATCCAAAGGTACAGAGTTCAACTCTACCAGCTGTTCTGTGGGAGAAAGATGGGCAATCTACTCTTGTGCAATTTGCTGACTCTGAAAGTCCACTGGAGGGTCAGCTATGGGTTGGTTCTGACTCAACAATATTCAACAACAACAATAATGACTTTGGTGTACTCACTGTTCCCTCCCCAGCAATGTAGATTCTATGCAGCCCTCAAAGCCCAGCCCAAATGTGCCCTATTTACTGGCTGTATCCCCAGAAAGAGGCTCCCTCCTCATTGTTCCCCTAACCCTTGTCTCCGACTTGTTTGGGTGCCTGGGTGCATGAGATGAGAAAGAAACACGAGCCTTAGACTTTGGACAGACCTCTTCGTTGCTCTGAGCCTCAGTTTCCCAGTTAGTAGAGGGGAGGAAGTCTGTCTTACAGGAAGTGCGTGTGTGAATGAAATGCATGTGATGCTCCCGAGTCACTGTGCAAAGGACAGAATGACCTTGTCTTGCCAGGCACGCACATCTATCCAGGGAGGGTTCAGACCTGCTCTGAAGGGAGGACAGCGACTAGGGTCTGGGCATGTTTCCTGGAGGAAGTGGTGAGAAAGGGCAGGGCACTGGGGGGGGCACCGTGGGTGGGGAGGCTCCCCAGCAGGGGTCTGTCACAGGCTGAGCAGGGTAGATGGGGCCCTTGCTGGCGGGCTGGGGTGGGCTGCAGAAGAGTGGAGTGACAAGTGTGACCGGGCAGAGCGGCTCAGATGTCGCCAGTTCCTGTTTTGGGGCCCACTTCTAATGCTCCTGCAGCCCCTGCCAGTGTCCTCTCACTGCGTGAGCCTGCCTAGACCTGCCCAGGCTTAGCCACAATCCCTGCTGGGTCCGGGGTGCTGGAGGCTGGGGGAGGAAGTGATCTTAACTGTGATAAGGACCCCTCTCTGACTTCCTGTTTGTACCTCCTGGTCTTCAGGCCACATGATTTTCTTTTCTGCCCATGGCTTTGCTTACACTCAACACACTGCCCATACACCTCATCCCTGCCTTACAGAAGGCCATTGCCCTCCAAATCTCTGAGTGATGGACATTCACAGCTCTGGTGGATAGAGGAGTGAGGCCCAGAGAGGACAGGCTGTGTCTTCTCCACAGACCACAGGGCAAAGCACACAGAAGGTGCACAATAGACTCAATCTACATCAGCACACATTGGCTTGACGGTACTTCACAAGTGCTCATTTGAGCAGCCCCACTTAACAGATGAAGAAACTGAGCCTAGTGAAGAGAGAGACTTGCCCAAGGGCGGCCTTTGTGTTAGTGAGGAAGTTGAAAGGTGAACTTGCCAGTTGAATACCACTTCACTCACTTCTCACTGCAGGGTGGCGGGGGTGGGGGGGGGAAGGGATTGGACCACTCTTGTTTATAGGGAAGGACCCATGGTGGCATAATGTGTTAGGCTGCTAAGGAAAGGTCAGTAGTTTGAATCCACCCCTGGTGGCTCCAAAGGAGAAAGATGCAAAGCTCCTTCCATAACGATTTACAGCCTCGAAACCCCTCTGGAGGGTCCTGAGTCGAATTGCTCTATGGCGGTGGGAGGCAGCGCTGCTGGTGACCGGGGTGGAGTTTTTCTGGTTGTCTGACACAAGCTGGCTCCTGACTGCCTGGCTCTGGTAAGACTGGAGGCCGGGATTCAGAGCCACACTCTACTACTCTGAGGCCTGGCCGAGGGGATGGTGTGTGTGTGTGTATGGTGGGGGGACTGCTCCTTACCTGGCTTGGTGACTCGCAGGAGCTCAGGTACCGCACTGCAGGGCACCTGGCCATCACTGAGGGCGCCCACCATCAGCACTGCATCAAAAGTCCCTGTAGGTGGGGCAGGGGGATGTAGCAGGGTGGGCTCTTTGCAGTATGGTCTCAGGCTTCCCTAGAGGATAGTGTTCCATAGTGGAGGCCTAGGGAAGGACTAGGTGGGCCGCCAGTGTCTGCAGGACCAGATACCACATGGATCTAGTGGCAGAAGTGGCCCAGGCGTGGGCTGAAGTCAGATCATGGTATAGAGGGTCACAGGGAGAGGGGGCTGCTTACTATGGAGGAAGGGGGCTCTTTGAGAGGCAGGGGCCCAATGGGGAACTGAGCAAGGCAGTGGAGGTGTAGCAAGAGAGGGTGGCTTTGTGGAGGTGGGCACTGGGATGTTAGAGATACCTTCAGGGCTGGGCAGAGGCTCCTGTCCCAGGGTGCAGAGGTCAAGGGTCCGGTAAAGGCCTCGAGCCTGAGCCTGCTCCAGCATTCCGGGGCTCCCGTCCACCCCGTGCACCTGGATGAAGCCCCGGGCCTGCAGCTGGAGTCAGAGAATCAGTCACCTTTCACACCCTGCCACTTCCCAGCTGTGTACTCAGATCTGGGGAAGGGTAGAGGTGACCCCACAGTGGGTGTGACCCTGCATTTGGTACTTGGGAGTCTAGGTGAGAAGGCAATGTGCTGGGGCCAGACTGAGGGACCTTTGAAAGTGAGAGGGGCAGGGTATCTGGGAAGGTCTCACCTCGACAGCTACCAGGCCGGTGCCACAAGCCACGTCCAGGATCAGCGCGGTGTGGGGCGGGACTGGAAGGGCTTGGGTCAGGCAGTCCACTGCGAGGCGAGGTGCGCGGTACTGCAGGGCGGCCACGTCCTGGGGACAAAACGCCGAGCCGATGCCACTCCACTCCAGGTCCTAGAGTCTCGAGGACTTCTCAGGTGGGGTGGCCTGCCTATCAGCCAGGTCAAGGTGTGCGTAGGTGTGTGTTGGGGGACTCAGGGCCTGCTTGTCGGTAGTCATCGTCAGTAGCACCTCCTCAAAGTGCACTCTGGCTGGGCTTCAGCCCCGTGGTGGAGAGGTCCCTGATGTTTGGGGTTGGGACTGCTCAGAAGGCCTTTGTGTGTGGGCAGGGACAATGCCTGGAGGTGGAAGGGCTACAGGGTCCTCACTGGTCTCTCCCTTTACTCTCCCAGCTGTCTTGGGATTAAGGCTAACTAATCATGCCCACTTTACAGACAAGAGAACTGAGGCAAAGTCCCTGGTGGGTTACCTGGTCGTAGTCTGGGGCCCAGGAATCATAGAAATGGAGCTTTCTGGCCAGGTCGGTGATACCGTGGGAAGCCCCCACTCGAGCCCGCACCTTGGGCAGTCTTCTGCCCTCTTCTTGCGCCATCCTTCTGTGGGGACATGGCCTCCCTATACCCTCTGTCCAGAGACACCCACAATCTCCCACACCCGGCTCCCACGCCCAGCAGAGACAGGGCTCTCAGGACCTCCCCCCTCCCTGGGCTCCCAGCACCCATCCCTCATTTCACAGGCAGGGACACTGAATACAGAGCGGGCGGGACATAGACATCCCGGGCCTGACGCACTGGGAAGAGGAGTGCACCCCACGGTGAAGGGGCTGTAACAGGGTACTCACCGCCTGTCAAACGTGCACGAACTTGGCAGCGTGGGGCGGGGCCTGTATGCAAAACAGGAATCCGCCCCCCAAGCCCTCGATGATTGGCTTTCCGCTAAGAGAGAATGTCCAATCAAAGGAAAGCCCGCGCGCCACGCCCCCAGCAGGGGAAAGTCCCAGACTCAGCAGCTAGCAGAGCGCAGACTCCACTTTCAAGTGTCTCCTCCTCTACTGCACGCTGAGCTCCAAGAAAGCCAGTGTGTTCCTAGCCCCTAGCAAGCCAGTCTTTTCAGTTGCTTCCTATGCATCTGAAAGTTGAATATAGATGATAATCCAACCTGAAAAAAAAAAATAAGGATGACAGAAGAGGCGATGTCTTTGAATTGTGGTATAGGTGTCATTGAGTCAACCAGGACTCAAAGCAACAACAGATCTGAACCTTGTCCACTCGTGCACCGCCCTCACGATCTCTGTTCAGCCTCGTGGTATTTGTCTGGCCAGAACCAAGGTCAAAGGGAGAACAAAAGATTCAAGGAATATGAATATCAACAAAGAGAGTGAACAGCCTCAACTACCATGGAGCGCCCCTCCCTTCCCTCCCTAGAAGACCACCCACCTGGCTAAACCACAGTGGAATGTCCCTTCCTTACCTCCCTGAAGGCCCTCACTGTAAAACCTGCCCTAATCCACTTTAGGGTGTGGTATTTCCCTGGTCTGTCCCTCTGCGTGTTTCTCTCTCTTTAGACCAAGGAATCCCGTCCAGGAGACCCCTTAATAAAGCTACTTATCTTCCTTTCTCTCATCCCTTCCTTGAGTCCTTGGCCTTACCTCCAGTGCGAAGACCTAATAGTATTCACGTGTCAATCCATCTTGTTAAGGGTTTTCCTCTTTCTCTGACCCCTCTCCCTTTTCCACAACATGCCCAAGTTTCACCTCCCTTGCCTCTAACGAGCACTCTGGTTACACTTTCCTCAAAACAGATTTGTTTGTATGTTTGTTCTCAGCAGTCCATGGGATGTTAAAAACTTCTCTAGGCCAAGGTCGCTGCCATGAACATGAATGGAGAATACCACCAGTGCTTCAATCACTGGTTTGCCAAGAAGTTCCTCTAGGGGGATGGCTCTGGAGACCCATAAAACCAACCTCTTCAATCTCTATCAGCAGTGTATCCAGAAAGCAATAAAGCAGAAGGAGATTCCTACTGAAGGACTGGAGCTCATGGGCCATGGCAAAGAAAAGTCAGAAGCTCTTCTTGACCTTGACAGTCATTCACCTTGAAAATGGGCTCCTAAAATCATCAGCAAACTTGAGACTGATTTTGTGTCAATTAAGGCCGTGAAGAGAGCCATCAGTTTGATGAGGGATTTAGGAGGGAATTTTATTTCTTCCTTCTTGAGATACTACTCTTACTTGCTGTGCCATTTTATAGGTATTGAATGTGCTAAAACGAATTTCCAGGGATCTTGGTTACAATACTTGGTCTGGAATCAGCTTTAAATGGGTGTATAGAGTGATAACCTTGTCAGCACGGTCAGGATTGCCTGGCCCCTTGATTTATACTGCGAAGGCACACTGTCCTGGGATCACTGTTCATGGAAACAGTTGGTTAGGACTTCTCTCAGGAAGCCAGTGTTCTGAAGACTCAACTTGGGACAGCAATTAAATTTTTATGTAGTAATTTTAACGGTTAAGATTGCTGTGAGTCTGGGTTAACCAAGAGAAAGACGTCTTTTAACAGACTTACAACCCTATCTTAACAAGAAGTATCAGATTTGAAAGCTTCAATAGTGTGTTGCATTGAACTCCAGCTCCAAGTTACAATATAGTTTCGGAATTAAGACTCCTTAGTGCAACAATGAATGAGTGGAAGCCCAAAATCTCTGTAAATGTTTATGAAAATTAATAAAATATAATTATAGAAAAAAAAAGACTCTTAGAGTAGCAGTGAAGGAAAATCCTAAATATCAGAGACAATATGTCAACTTATACACAGAAAAATGCCGCCTCTAGTTAAATGGGTGAAAGAAGTTTATCTTCTTTACTTATCTTGCCTAGTAATACATGTAATCCTGAAAACAGAATAAATTATATTTCATTTCCAAAACAAAACAAAATAACTCTTCCCTAACACTACAATTCAAAGGCATTGATTTTGCTTTTGATCGTCTTTATAAATTGTCAAAAGTTCAGATGCAGGGAAGCTGCGGTGGCCTAGTGGCAAGAAGCTGCAACTACAATCCCAGAGGTGCACGGTTCGAATCCACCAGATGCTCTGCTGGGGAAGGAGGGGCAATCTCCTCCTTTACCAGTCAGATCTGATTTGACGGTACACACACACAAAAACAATAAAATAAAACAACAACAACAACAAAAAAAACACCCACAAGTTCAGATGCATAGAAAGCAATACCATGATGTGGATAAGGCATACCTTACTCTTTAAATTGACATCCTTGCTCTTTATAATTTTGCAGAAGTACTTGATAGTCGTGTCAAATACCATAATGATTACCCAGTATGTACAGTGTTTGGATGAGCTTCCAGATTGATTCATGTTGGGAAGCAGGTGTGTCATCCACTTCCTAAACTAGATGCCTCTGGAAACTCTACAAACTCTCTTATAAATGTACAGAAATTATGTCAGTTGTAGAACAGAGTTCAGATCTTTTGTGCAGAGCTTACTCTGAGTCATAGTCAGCTCAACAACACTTAACCGCTGCTAAATGAGACTAGTGCTGTTCTATCTGGAGGAACATTCTTCCACTTTGCACATCACTCTTCATCGATGTGCTGTAGGAGGTAACCTGGGTTTGCTGTGACGCTGAACCTTGTGCCATGGGGATATCAAATACCATAGTGGTTTCCCATTGTGTACTGTGTTTGATGGAGCTCCCAGTTATAAAACCAGTTGTAAAACGGGTTGGGAAGCAGGAGTGGCATCCACTTCCTAAACCACATGCCTCTGGAAACTCTAGGAACTTGGAGAAACAGATAGCTATGGAAAGGCATTAGGTCTTTTGTTCATAGTGTTGTTATGAGTTGACCTCAACTCTATGGCAATTAAAAACAACAACCATAACTTGATAGTGCATTTCCCCAGTGCCACACATCTTAATTTCTTGACTGCTGCTACCATGGGTGTGTTATGGCAGAAAGTGAATGATCCTAAACACTCAGCCGAAGTTTAGGGATCAACGAAGTTCTTTATAAAGTGTGGGGACAAGAACATCCAATAATGCTCAAACCATTCTGACCCTGAGGGGAAGGAAAGCTTGGGTTTATATACAGAGATTGGGCATGAGGGCTGGTGAACACAAAGTTCACTGTGGTTGATAGTTCTGGTCCTCTTGTGGTCACTGTTGGCTCGTCCCTGGGTAGGGAGCATGGATATAGACATTGATGCTCCGGCTAAGGCCAGCTGACCATTAGTCCTGGCTCCATCTCTGATGCCTTGTACTGGGCTCAGGCTAATAAATATTTATTGGGCACCTCACCTACTGCTTGCCAGGCCCTGGGCAGGGCACTGGAGTCAGGGTGCTGAGTCAGAAACAGCCCCCACCTCTGCATGTGCTGGGGGGTGGGTGGAGAAGGGTGGGGATGTTTACCCTGTGTGTGCTCTGTTCATTATCTCCTCAATGTGGATGCACAGGCTTTTCCTTCTAAGCCTCGCCATCAGGGTGAGGTCTTGGAGGTGGATGGGCTGACAGTGAGGGATGCTGGGAGAAGGAACTAAGGACCTCAGCAGTGTGGAGGCCCTCAGTGGGATGCGGACCCACAGGAATTTATGGTACCAGGGATGGCTTCTGGGCCTGTGGAGGATTCGACTTGCCAAGGGGATGTGTGATAGAGGTTAGGGGCCTCCAGATCTGCTCTGTTGCTCTCAGCTGTGGGCCCCAGACCCCATTTCTTTTCTTTTTTGTTTTTTAATTTATTATTAATTTCAATGGAAATTTACAGAGACTTTGGATTTCTAGTCATTCATTGTTGCACTTTTCTCCCCTCCTAACCCTCGCCCCTAGTACACTCTTCTCTCCGAAAAGTAAAAAAAAAAATTCTTTCGTTGTTTTACAAACCCTCCCCCAGGTCCACTCCACTATGCAGCCTTCACGCTGGACTGGTGTCATGACAAAAATATCTAATCACATATCCCTTTTAAACAGTTTTCTCCATCATATGTTTCAATGCAGTACACATTATTGAACCCATCTTTCTCAGTCTCTCCCCAACCCCAAAGTCCTGTTTTACAACAGTGGCACCATGCAGTATTTGTCCTTTTGTGACTGAGATACTTCACTCAGCATAATGTCCTCCAGGGTCACCCATTTTGAATAATGCTGCATGAGTTCCTTGTTTTTCAATGCAGCGTAGTATTCCATTGTGTGAATATACCACAGCTTCTCTATCCATTCGTTTGTTGATGGGCACTTGGGTTGTTTCCAACTCCTTACTATTGTGAACAAAGCCGCGATAAACATGGGTGTGCATCAGACCCCATTTCTTCCTCCCCGCAATCTCCAGGCATCTTTCCTGACTGTGTCTTTTGTTAGAAATGACCCTTCGCCAGGAGAATGGGTACCTCTGTGGCTGGTGGCTTCCCAGGAAGAGGAAGGACTGGGGGTTGGGTAACAGGAAATAACTTAGGGGTGAAGAAGAGCAGTGAAAGCATCAGCATGTGTTTCAAAACTGTCATCCGGTCCTGCAGGTGTCTGAGCCAAGGGCGTAGATGAGCAGGTAATGGACAAGGGTGAGATGGAGGTGTTGGAGCAGCAAGG